GAAAAGAATAATCAACATGAAAGATTGCAGAATATGTATATGTATATATATGTATCTCGATTGGCTGTAGCATACGCACTTAATTTGAAGCATGAACTAAGAGTAACAAAAATGAGAAACTTGCCTAGAACCAAAATATAATGGAAAATAGAAAGAAAACTAAAAAAGACATGCTATTCAAGCATCTTTTTCTCTCAGTATCTTCAAGTTTGAAGTAGAAAAAGTTGAAAATTGTTTGATGTGCCAAATAAGATATTTAAAACTATCAAAACAACAGAGCTTGTACATACTCCCTCCGTCCGGAAATACTTGTCATCAAAATGAATAAAAAGGGATATATCTAGAAGTACATCAAATTTACCATACCTGGTCCCTGGGCGACGATGAACCATTAGTTTCTATCTGTTTCAATTTATGGATAATATCCTCCACAGTGGGTCTCTTGTTCCTGTCCAACTCCACACACTTCATTGCTAGTTCAATGCATCCCTTCACTTGCTGGCAATATTCCTGCAACGCATACATTGGTGTTTTTGTTGACTCTATCCTTCTCCTCCAGTTCTTGTGTACCTACATGATTGAAACATACGAAGATGATTGAACTATTGACAGAGTAATTAGAAATATTCAAAGGCCCACGTTGGTTCATAAATAGGTGTCATTTTGGCCATCACCATGATATCTCAAAAAGTGACTTCCATCATTATAATTATTCAAAATCTTAATATAATGATGATGTTGGAGAGTAATTCAATTTCAAAACAAAATCCACATATAGATAGCTATTTAAATATGATATCTAAATATTTAACACATAGTCAAAATTTTGCAAGTATGACTAGACCTCTGAAACAATATTTTCTCTATGAATTGGAATAGTATAGATGTGGGTGGAAAACTATAACTTCGCATACATGGTCAATAAATTCTTGGGAAGACATGTCTGTATTAGAGTAGCTCCCTTGTCCTGACATTATCTCAATGATTATCACACCTAAGCTGAATATGTCATACTTTTTGGAGATTTGACGTTTTAATAAGTACTCCGGTGGCATGTAGGCCCTGCAACATATAATTGACATTAAGGATACAATTAGTATGGAGCAAACAGATAATATGCAATAACACTAAAGATCTATATTTCCCATGTACTTTGTACTTACTCTGTGCCTTTGCAATTTTTTGTAGTATGAGTATGTGTACCACCGAAGAGCCTTGATAACCCAAAATCTGCTATTTTCGGCTTCATGTTCTTATCTAGCAGTATGTTCGCAGGTTTAAGGTCAAGATGGAAAATTGCTTTTTTGTGTGAATCCCCATGAAGGTAACTTAAACCATCGCATATCCCTTTAATTATTTTGAAGCGTGTGGGCCAATCATGTCCACAGGATTCATCTACGAAATAGAATAGAATACAATATTTTCAAATATATTTTCTTCTTTGCTCATTAAGAAATACAGTACGATAGTACTATAGTTAAGATGCCATCATACCATTAAGATGCTTGTCAAGGCTTCCACCCTGCAAATACTCGAGGCAAAGAACTCTCTCAATCATTTGGCAGAAAATATGCCCTCCATTATGCTCCATATATACATGTCTTATCTCGTAGCAGTAGCCAACAAGCCGTACGATATTTTGATGCCGAATCTTCATAAGGCTATTGAATTCATTCGTAAATTGCTCATCGTCAAGTTCCGTTATGGGATAAAGCTTCTTGACAGCAATCGCTCTCCCATTTTTATCTACTCCCTACGTGAGAAATCTTATTAACAATATATGCATGGATGACAGAGAGCCCCACGAAAAAAACATTTCTCTTAAATAGCATACACACACACACACACACACACACACACACACACACACACACACACACACACACACATATATATGTACCTTGTAAACTTTACCATAGCCACCGCTTCCAAGTATGCGCTCCTTTGAAAACCCTTCTGTAATCTCGTCTAAAAACAGTAAAGGTACACCACTAGGTCTCATACTCTTGAACTGTTTAATTTGTCCAAGATATAATGGACCTGCTAGCTGAATTCACCCCTTTCTACATGCATAAGAAAGAAGGCATGGACCCTCTTTTCGGTGAGCATAAGTTTTGTCTGCCAAAATACAAAAAGTTTTGGCACAAACCTAGCCCTCACCAAAGCTAGATGCTAAATACTCCCTCCGTCCCAAAATAACTGTCTCAACTTTGTACTAGCTCTAATACAAATTTGTACTAAGCTCAAGACACTTATTTTGGGACGGAGGAAGTATAAGATAAAAGCTCCATGTACAGTGTCTAAATATAGGATATAAAAATAACATCCCAAGAGATCAGCATATACTACTCCCTCCGTCTCGAAATAAGTGTCTCAACTTTGTACTAGAGCTAGTACAAAATTGTACTAAGCTTGCGACACTTATTTTGGGACAGAGGGAGTATAAGACAACGACATGAGAGATTCCTCAGTTTTTATATATGTGACTTATGTCGATGTCCCGTCCTATTGTAGGCTTGTGTGCTGGTACAGAAATCACTTCCGTGAGGTGATAGTGCAGGCTTGAGAATTGAAAGAAAGTAAACTGTATTTAGCTTAAAATAATATGGGTTATGGGATATCAATTTCTTCCCCTGGAGTTCTAGATATGTATCCAAATACTAAGAACTTTTTTCCATGGGAAATACAAGCACTTTTACATCTAAACTGGGGCACGTATGAGTGGATATATACTCCCTCCGTCCGGAAATACTTGTCCTAAAAATGGATACAATGGATATATCTAAAACTAAAATAAGTCTAGATACAGCCATTTCAAGGACAAGTATTTCCGGAAGGAGGGAGTACTAAGAAACGGTACCAGGTAGTGTGTATGTATGCTTAATAAATTTTTGTAAAAGAAATCAATTATGCACTTAATTAACAAGACATAAACAGATGGTTTTTTCTGTGAACTATACAGTGAATCAATGACATGCATATAACGATCTGTCTATCGGTATGTGACCAGATTTTTTTGTATGGTATAGAATTGGACAGTTTTTATTTTCAAAAACCAAAAAAATATCACGTCCTGGTTCTGTAACGCAAAATGTGAACAATTTTTTTTCTTTCATAAGTGAGCATGTGTACCGGCAAAATGTTAAATGTGTTGCATAAGGAACGAGCCATGAGTGTCCAACATAGCAATTATAAACTTACACAATTTAATTTTTGATCAACACAAAAACTAGTCATAGTTTTTTCATAGACTTGCATATCCATACATCAGCCACAATTTAGACATTTATTCATTTTTCTTCAGATATTATTTTTCAGAACTTAGCTGTGTGATATTATTATTTTTCAGAACTTAGCTATGTGATATCTGTCCTGAGATCTTATATATGCATCTAGGTGTGTGCAAATTTTTTCCGGCCGTACCTTAAAGATTATAGGATATACAGTACATGCTTTTGGAGCAACAATCTGAAACCATGTGCACTATGAACGAGATGAAATGTTTTGTAAGATTCTGGGATATATATATCAACAATAAATAGGAGCAATCTGAAAGCATGTGGACAATCTGAAAGCATGTTTTGTAAGATGAAAGTGCACTAGGACAAACGATCAATGGATTAGAAATGGCAAAAACAGGGCTTTGATATATCTCACCGTCGGAGAAGGAGCCTTAATTAAGCTCGTCGGCGAAGTTGTGCTGCTGCTGCTGCTGCAAGGAGTACTTGTGGTGCAAGTAGAAAGTGTGGGCGGTGAAATGGACAGGAGAGGATGGCGTGTATATATAGGATCAATCGTCTGTGAAAGAGAAGAGGACATGCAAGCTGCGGACTGTTTCTGGTTATGGAAGTTTCCAGCTGGGAGCTGTTTGTAAGTATGTATGCATAACGCGTCCTGTTGTTACTCCTGTACATATCCATACATGCATGTATTTTGCATGAATGCTCTCTGCAGTATCTCAACATCATTTTTCAATGATAATTGTTTTCCTGAACATTCCTGGAGACACGCCATTTTAGTTAAGAAGAAAGCGCTAGCTAGCATGAACGGTAAACATTTATAAAAATAAAGAAATAGATTATTTATGGATAATACTAGGGCCTAGGATTCAGTGCAAGAGAGGCTTCTATCCACCTACGGTAGATTATGTCTTCGGGCAATAACCCAACAATCCCAGGGATATATGCTACTGATATATCGAGCTTAATTATACTGATTAGGCGGATCCTTGTGGCAAAAGGCAACTTTTTTTATCCCCATTAGTATATGTTTGCCAATAGGTCCACTTGTTTTTTAGGGGAGTGGTCAACTGTTTGTAATGATATTAGATCACTCATGTCACATCAGATCGAGGCGGAAACTGAACTGTGTCAGCAAACCGTTAACGCGGCACTGACCCTCAGTCGCGTGTTTCGAGAAATGAACGCGGTAGGCGCGACCGAATCAATTCAACCGGATCGTTACGCTAGCCAGCGCCTCCTCTCTCCAGCTCCACGCGCGAAATAGGAGCGACCGAAATCCCAGCGACCTTCACGACCTGCTCCTCGCGTGCGTGCGTGCGTTTTTTTTTTTTTAGAATGCGTGCGTACTTTTTTATTCAGGGGGTCCGTATGTGTTGGCAGCAAGGTCGGCGGATCACATGAAAGATCAGAAAGCAAAAGATTTTCTTCTACCAAAGTCACACCTGGGGTTTGAAAATGAGCAAGAGCGACCTCCCCCCTCCCACGCCGGACAAAATCACTGTTTTGACCTCTTGTGCTAACAAATTCTCGAAATGACTTCGGTTGTAAAAAATTTTCGAATTTGACCTTTTTCGGTGACGCTAACATCCCTAGCGTCCGGGTTGCACTGGAGACTGGTCCCTGGCCCGCACGACCCCCCGACTCATTGACCTAATGACGTGGCAAAAGGCCAGACGCCAGAGACCTGGGCGTCTGGGCCAGACGCCAGAGACCTCGGCGTCTGGTGCCAGACGCCATAGACCATGGCGCTTGATGCACATGGGCCATATGTCGGTGACAGTGTCGGCGACGAGCGAGCTGTTCGGCGCCAAGAACTTCGACGTCAACCACAACGTGCTGGTGTCCAACATCCCCGTGGGGTCGCTCTGCTTCGGCTACTTCTCGGCGTTCCTGTACCAGCGGGAGGCCGGCGCGCGCGGGGCCGCCACCTGCTCCGGCGCCAGCTGCTACCAGGCCACCTTCGCCATCTGGGGCGCCACCTGCGTCGTCGGCACGCTGCTCTGCGTCGTCCTCTACGTCCGCTCCCGCAGCTTCGCCGGCAGGCTGCCGGTCAGGTTACAGTGGCTGTCGCGCTTAGCTAACCTCGTAGGCGCTGGCCGGAAGGCTTGACGACGACGGCCAGCCATGGCGGTTGATTGATTAACTTAGGAGACACGAAGCATCGATCTGCCACGATGCGATCGATGTAGCTTTTTGTTTTCTTCCTTTTTATGGTTTTGCTCTTGACTGATCGATCCCACGGAGGGGATACGTACACAGATCAAGCTGGACGGAGTAGATATTGTGCAGGTTGATCACCTTTTCGCTGCAGATATATTATGCTTATAAAGAGTGATTGAAGAATACCGGATTTCCTTCTTCTTCATTTCCTTTTAATTTTTCATGTTTTGGTGGCAGCATGTAGGAGTATTGACGTTGGGAAGTTGGAGTAGTGTACGTACCTGGAGGTGCAATTAAAATTAGTGCATGAAAGCGACAACGGATGCCCTGTGTTTAGACTTGTATCTGCTTAATTACGAACGTGGAATTCTACTAGTTGATTGTGAAGTACCGGCAGGCAGGCAGGCAGCTAGCTAGCTTTACGTGTATAGAAAAATCTGTTGGCCACACCCGTACATGTACGTGCACTGGAGTGAAAGCGTGTAGTGTACCTTCAAATTACAGTAATTGGCCATAAGAAGAAGATTATGGAAAAACCACCAGGCCGTATTCTTACGATCTCAACAGCCGGTAGAAAAATGATGGCGAGGCTCCGTAGATGACGAAACAGGTCTAGTGCTCATTGCCCAATAACGAAAATTCTAGACTTGATGGCTCCAGTGACAGTGTAACCCTTCTTTCAGGGTCTTGTCTTGACCAGGTAGCTATGCATGGCACACCACACAGCAGGGTTCTCGTCTTGTTTATTTACATCGACCCGTCCCTTCCGACAATAGCATGCATCACTGGCATGCCATGCGTCCAATTCGCATCACCAATAAACAGGAACTGAGCATGGCATCACCGACGTTTTTTACTACTCCACTATCTACACGCATGAAGATCGGACATGCATTGCCATGCATGTGAGGCAGAGGCCGCCATTAAAGGATGCTCGAGCAGGTAGGTCGATCGATCCAACACCGAGCTCGTGGTCCTCTCACATGCTGCTCGATAGCGGTGCAATGATACAACGCAAAGTTCAGTTCCATCCTCCCGTGTACTTGCATGGGCGGGTCGATGCCATTTATTCGCCAAAAGATTGCAGAGCCATCAGCCCTGCCACTCCTGCCGGATGTCGTCCTACAGCTCTGTTTCTTCAGGGGGTGTTTGTTTCCAGGTACTTTTTGGTATAGGGACTAGAAAAAGTCCCTAGCAAACCAAACAGGGTGGGACTTTTTTTGGACTTTTTGCTAAAAGTCCTTAGAAGCACCTCCTTGAGAGTCTTTTTTAAAAAATCCCAGGGACTAGAAAAAGTCCTAGGACTAGAGAAACAAACACCACCTCAATCTCTCAGCTGGTGAGCTGATGTGCATTTATGCGTTTATATGTGGTTGGCTGGCGCAGGGGTGAATGGTAACACAGCTAGGTCACCAGACGCCGTGGTCTCTGGCGTCTGGCACCATACGCCGAGGTCTTTGGCGTCTGACTTTTTGCCACGTCAGCAGGTCAATGAGTCGAGGGGATCGTGTGGGCCAGGGACCAGACGCCAGGGTCTCTGGCATCTCCAATACAATCCAGACGCCAGGGATGTTGGCGTCACCAAAAGAGGTTAGATTCGGAATTTTTTTACAACCGAGGTCAGTTCGGGAATTTTTTAGCACAAAAGGTCAAAATAGTGATTTTGTCCTCCCACACCCCGACAAAGGCTGGAACCCTCTCCCTGCGGCCGCTTCAGCTGCCACCCACGCCGCCTTGTCTGCCAAGGAACTTACCCCGATGGCCGTTTCAGCTGCAACCCCTGCCGCCGCCCTGTGTAACGAGCAACTTTACATCACCCCTGTCGTCCCGTCTGTTGAGGAACTTTACCGGTGGCGGTTTCAGCTGCCACCCCTGCCGCCCTGTCTAGCGATGAACTTTACCCGATGTCCGTTTCAACTGCGACCCCCGCCGCCCCGTTTGCCGAGGAACTTTACCCCCGTGGTGATCCCCAAGGCCGATGGCGCCGGATTGTCTTCGTCTGTCCCTGATTTGGATCGGTGGCCGCACGGATCTGCCTCCGCCAACCTCACCATCCTCGCGCACATGGACTCAGAATGCCTTGAATGCGGGAGAGGTGCTGGAGACATAGACAAAGCTTCAAGATGGACGCATGCGCGTCGCATCGATCATCGCCACCCGTGGCGCGGGCTTTCATGGAGCTACCACCTTCAATGCGGGTGATTCGACGCGCGGCAACGGGATGAAGTTACATCGCGTTTTCTCCGGGTCACCCGCTTCCAATCCGGGCATGCTCACACCTTCCCGCCCTTGGCCGCGAAGCAAGGTTGCCAATCATGTGGGACTTATGGGGTAACCAAATCGAAGTACTGAAAGTAAGGAATAAGCTCACCAAGTATGGGGTCAATCCAAGCATGTTTAAGCCTCCAATCACTTGTTTGAACACTGTCTAGTTAGAAGCAGCAAATCTAGACAGAACCTCCTCTTTTTCTTCTTCCTCTCGCCCACAGGTTGTGTTCTAGTGTGTTGTCTCTCACTCTCACGAAAATGGCAGACACCACCAGTAGGGGTGGAATGCCTAGTGTTTTCTTCTTTACTCCCTTCACTAGGAAACACTCATAACTACTGGATACAACGAAGATCAACGACTTACATGTGTTGGACTTATGGGCTGATGTTGGGCTGCCAACACACCTCCATGTGCAGAGACTTAGCCCAACAACATGGCATCAAGCTTTATCTTTTCTAAATCCACCTTGGTCCGAATCTTGACTAGATAAGAGAGAAGCTAACGGTCATGAACGACATCCGCTTCCTCATCCGAGTCAAGAAGGTCCAACAATAGCATCATGTTTTGAGCAATTGTAAGTCATCACCCTTATCTAGAACCTTGTTAACTGCGTGGCCGCTCATATAGCAAGTTACCCGTGAATGATGATACGCATTTCCAACTTACGGTCGACTAGTAATGGCCACTTGCCAATACACCTATGTCACCTATATCGGAGAACCAAAAAATTGGAGTAAATTGCATAAAACCACCACTTTGAGGGCTAGGTTTGCGAAAAACACTAGGATACAGAATCATTGCAGAAAGCACCACGTCTAGCGTAATTGTTTTGCAAAAACCACTGATCAGCGGATCGGGCCGTGTTAAGTGAGTTTATGACAGGTCGGGCCCGTTTTTCGCCTACGTGGCACTCCAGGCCGTCCCGACAGCTGGCAGATGGTGTTAAACGGCGCCGTTAGGGCTCGTCTTTAGTCATCCACTCCCGCATCCGTCTCTTTTCCCCCATTCTTCTTCCCCCTCCTCCTCGCTCCCGCCGCCGCCACCCTCCCCCATTCTTCTTCCCCCTCCTCCCCGCTCCTGCCGCCGTCGCCCTCCCC